GACTCTTGGATAGCCGTTTTCTTGGACGTGTAGTAAGAAGTTGAAATAATTATATCGAGATATACATAGTGTAATATGGTATAAACAAATATATATCTACGTTGTTCCTGACAGAAGTCAGACAAACATATAGAAAGACAAACAGACAGACATTTTTTATAATGATCATTGTAAAAATAACCAAAGCGATTGCGTATATGTTTAGCTACACGTTGTCTCTTCTGCTTCTGACTGGCATCAATTTGTTTTAAATAAATAATAAACATATACCAATCGTAAACTCGTTAATGCGAAACACTTCGAAATGTCGCCGGCTTATGAAGTTAAAATGAGAATACATGTGTACGTAAAAAAATATCTTTTAAACATTCGACGAAGAGAAGGAGGAGGAGGAGGAGGAGGAAAGAAAAAATCGTTACTGAGGCTTCGCAAGTTCGAATGAAAAAAATTTGATTAAAAAAAAAAAAAGAGGAAGAAATCAAAAAAAAAAAAAAAAGAAAAAAAAAGAAATATTGACATTTCTGATTCAACGAAAGAATTTGAAAATAAATTCGTTCGCATAACTTTTAACACAGTCGCGTATCCATTGGTTTTGGGTTTTCTCGTTCAACCTAAGTCAGACTTTAATAACACTCTTATTTCCCTTAGAGATTTTCTACGACATCAACGAACATGCCTCCGCTGTTATTGCTTTGCTACTTTTATTTTTTTTCCTTCGTCGAACTTTAAATAATCTTTGATGGATGAACGATCGACATTGATAATTTCAAACGATCGATCGTATATACCTAAAATTATATATATATATATATATATATATATATATATATATATATATTAATCGATACGATTTAGATAACGCTCTCACTTAAAGATTTTCATTCTCGTAAGTGATAATTGATCTTAAAAGAACGAAAAAAGCGTGAGAGAAAAAGACACTTCTATAATTTGTCTATGTTAACAAAAAAGAAATATTCTTTTTCTGATACTAAACATTTAAGAATAAAATAAAATAAAATAAAATAAAATAAAATAAAATAAAATAAAAACAAATAAAGAACAAACGTTCAATCCTAAAAACGATCACGATCGAGCAAGAAAATACGGCCGATCTTGAACGCTTCAAAAAAAAAGAAAAAAAAAATCCGAAAACCTTCATGTTCTTATCCGCGCGATAGTATCGATGAAAGAAAAGGAAAAGAAAGAAAAAAAATAAGAAAAAGAAAAAAATTACAACAAATATCCTTGAGATCTCTGATCTTTTTTTTTCGCAATTTTATATGTACATAAGTACTTACGTATATGTATGTAAAAAAAAAAAAAAAGACAAAAGAAAAAAAAAGAAAAAAAGAAAAAAAGAAAAAGAAAAACAGAAGGAAAAGAAGAAGATGAAGAAGAAGAAGAAGAAAAACTTGAACGTTTCAATCTCTTTTCTCTGGAAAGATCTACGGAAACCATCTAACTGCCGTCAAACCGGGCAATAGTCGTTGTGTGTGCCCGGTACGGCCCTTGAGAGGAGCCCGTCGTCTTCGACCGATCGTACATAAGACGAAAATAGAAGCCCGGGGGCCGGTGGTATGTCGTATGCGAGGAAGAAGACGAAGACGAAGACTAAGAAAAAGAAAAGAAAGAAGAAGAAGAAGAAAAAAAAGAGACTTAAGTTAAGCGCTAAGCTTAAAAGAGAAAATCGAAGGAGACACGTAGACGAAGACGAAGAAGAAGAAGAAGAAGAGGAAGAAGAAGAAGAAGAAGAAGAAGAAGAAGAGGAAGAAGAAGAATAAAAAAAGAAAAGAAGAAGAAGAAGAAGGAGAAACAAGAAAAACAAGACAAAAAATAAAAGCAAAGGAAATAAGATGGGGGATGGTGGTGAAGAAGGAGAAAGGGTGGGATGTATAGATAGACAGATAGGTAGGTAGGTAGGTAGGTAGATAGATAGGAGGAAAATAGGTATAGATACCGTCGGGGTACATGTCTCAGCTTGCTTGTTTATTTATTCTTTCGTAAAGTCAACAAAAATTTGCTCGTCCGTGCCGAAACTACGGCAGAGAGAGAGAGAGAGAGAGAGAGAGAGAGAGAGAGAGAGAGAGAGAGAGAGAGAGAGAGAGAGAGAAAGAGAGAGAGAGAGAGAGAGGCAAGAGGTAAGAGGTAGCAATAGCAGCAGCAGCAGCATCAGTAGCAGTAGCAGCAGCAGCAGGCAGACACGACCTGTGGAAGAACGACGAACAGTGGACGACGGCCGAGCCAAATGTAGTTGGCCAAGAAGCCAAATGAGTTTGCTTCTATTATTACACTCCACCCAGCCGTGATCCACCGAGAGAGGAGAGCCACGCGAGCCCATGAGCCATGAGCTACGAGGACCAGCCACCACGGGACCCGGCAGACTATCCTCTTCCTTTATCTCTTTTTCTTTTTCTCTCTTTCTCTGTCTGTCCTTCCCTTAATCCATCCATCCATCCATCTTATTCTCTCTCTCTGTCTTTCTGCCTCTCTGCCTCTCTCT